TCAGCCCAGGGCCCTGCAACAGGCTTCTCTCAGCCCAGGGCCCTGCAACAGGCTTCTCTCAGCCCAGGGCCCTGCAACAGGCTTCTCTCAGCCCAGGGCCCTGCAACAGGCTTCTCTCAGCCCAGGGCCCTGCAACAGGCTTCTCTCAGCCCAGGGCCCTGCAACAGGCTTCTCTCAGCCCAGGGCCCTGCAACAGGCTTCTCTCAGCCCAGGGCCCTGCAACAGGCTTCTCTCAGCCCAGGGCCCTGCAACAGGCTTCTCTCAGCCCAGGGCCCTGCAACAGGCTTCTCTCAGCCCAGGGCCCTGCAACAGGCTTCTCTCAGCCCAGGGCCCTGCAACAGGCTTCTCTCAGCCCAGGGCCCTGCAACAGGCTTCTCTCAGCCCAGGGCCCTGCAACAGGCTTCTCTCAGCCCAGGGCCCTGCAACAGGCTTCTCTCAGCCCAGGGCCCTGCAACAGGCTTCTCTCAGCCCAGGGCCCTGCAACAGGCTTCTCTCAGCCCAGGGCCCTGCAACAGGCTTCTCTCAGCCCAGGGCCCTGCAACAGGCTTCTCTCAGCCCAGGGCCCTGCAACAGGCTTCTCTCAGCCCAGGGCCCTGCAACAGGCTTCTCTCAGCCCAGGGCCCTGCAACAGGCTTCTCTCAGCCCAGGGCCCTGCAACAGGCTTCTCTCAGCCCAGGGCCCTGCAACAGGCTTCTCTCAGCCCAGGGCCCTGCAACAGGCTTCTCTCAGCCCAGGGCCCTGCAACAGGCTTCTCTCAGCCCAGGGCCCTGCAACAGGCTTCTCTCAGCCCAGGGCCCTGCAACAGGCTTCTCTCAGCCCAGGGCCCTGCAACAGGCTTCTCTCAGCCCAGGGCCCTGCAACAGGCTTCTCTCAGCCCAGGGCCCTGCAACAGGCTTCTCTCAGCCCAGGGCCCTGCAACAGGCTTCTCTCAGCCCAGGGCCCTGCAACAGGCTTCTCTCAGCCCAGGGCCCTGCAACAGGCTTCTCTCAGCCCAGGGCCCTGCAACAGGCTTCTCTCAGCCCAGGGCCCCTGCACCAGGCTTCTCAGCCCAGGGCCCTGCCTGCACCAGGCTCCCGAGGAAACTGCCTCGGACACCAGAGCTTCAGAAAGCTCGGCCCCCAGCTCCTCTGAGCCCTTCAGTCTGCCAGGACCCCACGGGCCTTGCACAGTCACTTGAGGGTGGCTGGCGCCGGGACGGCGCTGGACAGGGAGCGTCCGGGCCAGGCCCCTCCTTCTCACCACCCCATGGCTTTTTATTCGATCACTTTACAGGCGAGAACATGAAGAGGTGGGGACACTGACTGTTTAGCTGAAGGCTACAAGTGGCAAAGGTGGGTGAGAGCCCAAGGCCCCACGCCTGCCCGCCTGCGTGACTCCCCGCCTGAACTCCGACAGCCTTCCCTCCCGCTGGGTACAGACCCGACTCCCTGTTCCACATGTGACTGTCAGGAATCCGACCCTAACCTGCCACTGAGGCGTCCTCTCCCTGCACGACCCTCACAAACAAAGCATCTCCAGTCCCTAACTGGCCCCGGCTCCCCAGAAGCTCAGGCTCAGGCCCGGCCACGCATTTGCTCCTGCTCAGAGAGTGTTGGTCCCTTCTACCGGGTCCTTGTCAGTCAGATGGCACCTCCTCCGGGAAGCCTCGCCTCACCCCGCCCCCAGCACAGCAGTCTCTAGCAGGGTCGCGCATCTCACAAGGACCACACCTGTGAACGGCACAGGGCGCTGCGACCGTCAGTCCCAGGGACAGGGAATATGCCCTCACCACCCTGGACCCTAAAGCCTGACACTACGCTTATCCCTTAGCAGGTCACCTAAAACTCCGGTAAGAAGACACAGTCGCTCGCCGAGCAGGGCTGGGGACTGACTCCTCGCCTTGGGCAGTTTCCCACACAACGGAAGCGTCCACTCGGAAGGGCCAGCTTTCTGCTGTTCCCGGTCTGGTTCCTGGAGACGGCAGCGTACACTGAAAGACGCCATGCTCTTCACGGCCAGACACTGGCCCCGGATGCAGCGACGTCTGCCCCTACACCTCACGGCCTGTCCCCGCGGCGTCTGTCTGCCCTCACTCCTCTCCGTGGCTCTCAGGCCTGACTGCCCGTCCCCCAGGCAGGCCGGCAGCCGGGCCTCCTGCTTGCCTTAGCAGCCCCGTGCCCGTGTCTCCCTGGACTGAGCCAGTGAGGGGCTGCGGGGCGGGGAGGGCAGTGGGGGCACGGACAGTGGGAAGGCAGGTGCGAACCCCGGCAGTCTGTACCCAGACACCGCGCGCTCGGCAGTTTCTCTTCTGCAGACTCTGGCTATAAACATACAGGGCATCAAGACGTGGGAGGAGAGGTGCTGGCCAAGGCGGAGACGGGGGTTAATGCCGCCACGGTGTCTCTCCGTAAGGCATTTTCCTATCAAAAAAATTAAGCGTTCCTGCAATTGTTTACCATTGGTGAATGATAGAGGTGTGAGCACATTATCATTAGCTGTACCTCTTTATGCCTTGAAAACGAAAAAGGATTTCAAGTTGCCCTCCCTCCGACCCACCTGAGCCCAGACCCAGGTACACCCCTGCCGGCCCCAGAACTGCACCTCTCATCCCACCCCAACCCCAACTCCCACTTGCCCTACTCAGAGCCCGGCCTG